AACAGGTACTTGGACAATCACAGGAAGCATGAATTTTGCACGATATTATCATACAGCATCCATATTAGCAAATGGATTAGTATTAGTTACCGGTGGATATAACGGTAGTACTTATCTTAGTAGTGCTGAATTGTACAATCCATCAACAGGCACTTGGACAATCACAGGAAACATGAGTATCGCACGAAAAGAGCCCATACTATCCATATTAGCAAATGGATTAGTATTAGTTACCGGTGGATATAACGGTATTACTTATCTCAATAGTGCTGAATTGTACAATTCATCAACAGGTACTTGGACAATCACAGGAAGCATGAATTTTGCACGATATTTTCACACAGCATCCACATTAGCAAATGGATTAGTATTAGTTGCTGGTGGAGCAATCAGCAGTGGTGTTTATCTCAATAGTGCTGAATTGTACAATCCATCAATAGGTACTTGGACAACTACAACAAACATGAGTGTCGCACGAGGACATCAAACAGCATCCATATTAGAAAATGGGTCCGTATTAGTTGCTAGTGGATGCAACCCTGCTTATCTCAATAGTGCTGAAGTATATTAATCAATCTAGATAGGATGACATTTTCTTTTGTGAACTGAATCATAATTTTTTCTATATGTAATCAAACTATTTAATCATTCACATTTCTTAATACATTATCATTCACCAAGTAATATCTCGAAATCATGTTGTATGACAGTTATTGAAAAAGAGTTATAATTGATAAAAGACAGATCATTATTTGTACAATTGAGTAGATATAAGTATAGATATGGAGAATATTAATCATTTGTTGTTCCCAACCACATTTATTCGGATGAGAGTAAGTTTACATGTGATGCTAATGTATAAATAATCGTCCTTAAGTAAAAATCAGAAATGAATAATTCAATAATATATTAAAACAAATCAATTTTTTCAACTGCACCCTTTCTTGTCAAATAGTTCGATCAGTCGAAAGGGTGGATGAATGTAGGTGTGAATGTATAGGTACGGACTATTCTTCTTCTACACCAACACCCTCATCCACAACCACACGACACAACCTTTTGAGATGATTTATTTCTTTTCCAGTTTTTTCTTTTCCTGATTGCTGGACATATTCAAAATACTGTTTAATAGCTATTTTATCATCTTCCCTTTCAATATCATATAGCTGCTCTTTTTTAGTATTTTCATCGGACAATCTTGCAGCTAATCATTTTTGATTCTCTATAACTGTTCGTATAATCAAGTTTAACTCAGAAATAATTACGGCACTTGTTTGTTATCGTTCTACAAAATTTTTAAAATTAATTTATTCTTAGATAAAATAAGATCACAACATATAAAACAGAACAACACTAGTATTAGTTTTTGGTCGCCAACATATGATGAAAAAGTAACATATATGCTGACTTCATCAGAATAACAGAAAGAAAGAAAGAAAACATGTACTACTCTTAATATCATCTAACAAGTAATTCAATATTGTATGGACATGATAGGTTTATTCAATGACATAAAACTGTCTTCTTCAAATTATACTAGAATCTAATGACAAAAGTTCATTTATTTGTTAAGAGTAAGGGCGCATATGAATGTATATGAACAGGAATGAAGAAAATATTCAGTTACTCAGTTCGACATTGTAATAATAATGTTTATTCTTGTTATCGAGAAGGTGGTGATGCATTTATATTTTTTTTCTCTTTCAATTGTTATCATCTATCCTTTTTTTTTGTTTCGTTCTGTCGTGCATTATCGTCTTTTTGATATATCTACAGAGCAAACTTACACTCTTCACATCTATTCATCATGACTAAACTCACTGTTGCTGTATGCCAATGTGCTTGTCAACAATTTGATTTTGATAAAACATTAGCACATCTTCAGAAATATAGTAAAGAAGCTGCTTCAAAAGGTGCACAACTTGCTTTATTTCCCGAAGCATTTATCGGTGGTTATCCACGATATTCAGATTTCGGTGCTACAATTGGAAATCGTACTGATGGGGGACGAGAACAATTTCTTACTTATCATCAGGCAGCAATGCCTCTCAAAGATGGAAATGAAAAATCGACTGAATTACAAAAAATAGAACAAATAGCTCGAACTAATAATCTATTTCTTATTATTGGTATTATTGAACAAGATGGAGGAACACTCTATTGTGCAGTTATTTATATTCATCCTGAGCATGGTCTTATTCATTCACGAAGAAAACTTATGCCCACTGGAACAGAACGACTTATTTGGGGTTTTGGTGATGTGAAAGATGTGAAGGCAGTTCCATTTGATAAAAATATATTGATGGGAGCAGCAATCTGCTGGGAAAATTATATGCCTCTACTTCGATATCATATGTTTTCGCAAAATATTCAAGTTTATTTAGCTCCTACAGCTGATGGACGAGATACATGGGTACCTAGTATGCGACATATTGCTATTGAAGGACGAACTTATGTATTAAGTGCTAATCAATTTGTCAAAACAAAAGACATGCCAGAAGGATATGCTTTACCAGAAGAATTATCCAATCCAGATAGTATACTAACCAATGGTGGAAGTGTCATTATTGATCCATTTGGTAAAATTCTTGCTGGTCCTCTATTTGGAGAAGAAGGTGTATTGATAGCTGAAATTGACACAGATGAATGTATTAAAGGTAAAATGGATTTTGACGTATGTGGACATTATGCACGCAAAGATGCTTTCAACTTTGAAATCAAACAATGAAAATGATTTAAACATGAAATAGATATTAATGTGCTTGCTATTGTATTGATTCTATAAAAAAACTAATCTTAACACGATTTATTTTAACATTCAACCTTATAGTAAAATTATTTATTTAACTACGAGTATAATAAAGATAATATGTTACTCCTAGCAGACACAGACTATTAAGCAAATAATTGTGAATATTGATGATTCCTGCATTAGGTATTTTCGGATAGACACGAGGCACACGGCTTGACATTGAACTAAACACTTCTGATCTGGGTATTTTTGCTTCGCGAGCAACGTCATCACCGGTAATTGTCTCATTGCCTTGCTGACCAACAAAAGTCACACGAGTTCCAACAGGATATTCTCGGTCAAGAGCGAGCATCAATTGATCCATAGAAATACGTCCAACGATTTGCATTCGCTTTCCATCAACAAGAACACCCGTTCGTCTAAAATCTTGATGCCAGCCATCACCGTATCCAATTGGTACAGTGCCTATCCATTGCGTTTCATTTGTCGTATAGTCATCTCCATAACCAATCTTTTCACCAGCATCTACTTGTTTAACGAGACTTAGTTGCGAATGAATAGAAATAGAAGTTTCAAGTGGAACAGGTAATAAATGTTTTAACGGTTCATTGGGTGGACCTGTCAATGCTTTTCCACATCGCACCATATTAAAGAAAGGTTTTTCGTCCTGATATAGTGTGGCACCGGAATTTGCACAGTGAACAACTTTTTCAGTACGATTCGGTATAATTTCAAGAAACTCATGAAAACGTTTTAGTTGTGTACGATAATAGGTTCTATTGTTGACATCTTCAGAAGTGGCAAAATGAGTAAAAACTCCTGTGAAACGAAGATTTCGATGACCAGCTGTAAGTTCTATAACTTTTCGCACATCATCTAGTGTCTTACAACCTAGACGATTCATACCCGTATCAACTTTGAGATGAAAATCAATCGGTTGTTGAACGATGCTTAAAGCTTCCTTGATCCATTCAAGTGAAATAGCCGTCACCGTAACGTCAGAATTACTGGCTACTGATAGATGTTCTGTTGGAACATAACCAAGAACTAGAATTGGAATGTTTTTCAAGAATTCACGACGTAGAACTAATGCTTCATCTAATGTAGCTACGCCTAACCAAGTCGCACCAGAAGACAGAGATGTACGAGCTATTTCCATCATTCCGTATCCATACGCATTTGCTTTAACAACGGCCATAAGATGTACTTTCTCACCAATATGATTTTTTAAAAGGCGAACATTTGATTGTACGTTGGTGAGATTCACTTCAATCCATGTAGGTCGTATATAAGGAGGTAAATCTCTAAATGAAATGAGCATACATTCGTTTTTTGTTGCTATGATTAAGAAAAAAAAAACACTTACATTTTATTCCGTATTATGTTAGTAGTAATATTGAAGTCAGAAGAGTTGTCTATTGGAGAGCTATGACTTGGAAGGCATACGATGCTCATCATAAAAATTAAACTGAGCATATAAGACATAATGCTGTATCTATAAGAAAAAAACAAAGATACACACATTAATATAATGTTTAAATTCTATAAAATCTAACATCCTTATTCTCATGATGGCAAAGAATATTGTTATCAAACTTTATATTTAATGATAAAACTTTGCATTCGTTTTTTATCGATATCAATTCATCATCGTGAATGCAATAAATTCGATTCATTTCTCATATAAAAAACGTCCATAATCATAAATTTTATCGAGCTTTACTTGATAACAAATTCAACGACAAATAAGAAAATGTTTTTATCAATGTTATATTATTTATCTTCAAATAATAAAATCAATTGCAAACATCTTAAGGTGTTTTATTTTCTACTTTTTCATACAATTATATTACCTATGAAGATTTTAAAAATAATCTATATAATATTTCTTGTGTGGTCCTTTTTTTGACGATAAGAAAGAGCATTGATAAACGTACTATATTTATTAATGATATTTTCACATTCATCTGCAGGATACAAAACAGCATATTTTTAAAACTCGTAGTTTCAAATAATTTTACTACAGAAAGTATATTTAATAAAATCAGTGTTTTTCATTGTATTTTGAAATTTTTGAGAGCGAATCAAAAACTCTTCTGCTACGTTAATTAACCTTAACAAAAATCAAATGGATTGACATCACAATATCGTATTGCAACAAGAAAAATATTTTTTATTAATAAAAACTCAACACATGAGTTACCCTTTTTTTTACTATAAGGAAACAACACCACAGAAATTACCGTTTTAAAAATTCTTTTCTCTTCTTTTAAAAAAACTATTTATCAATTCAAGCAACGATTGGCGTTACCAACCACGTTTCTCTTATATATATATAAAAGAATAGTAAAGAAGAAAAAAAAGTGTCCTTTATCAAAACAATATTTTAAAAAAAATGGCATTAATTAAAATATTTTTCCCGTAAAGATATAGATATCATTGAAGTATATTCCACATGCATATTTACTCAATTTTCTTCGAGTTTGAAATTTTACATTATAAAGTAGCGAAGGACATTTTTTTCTTTTGAGTTTTATTTGACTTCGATGAGAAAAAAAGAATGAAGAACAAAAGGAATAAACAAACTTCACGTCTGTTCTGTCATAAATATCGTTACATCGTAAAGTAAACACTCATTTTTTTCTCAATAAAAGTCGTAAGTGATTGTATTTTTTATAAAAAAAATATGCTATGTATTTCCTCTTGAAACAATCTGATTAATCATAAAAATTATGAATAGAATATTTGAGCAGCTTAATATTTTTATTTTAGATTTGGTGGTTCGAATATTGTTGACTACAATGCTTAGAACAAAATATAGGTAAATACATATATTTTTAAATTCTTGAGGGTGTGGATGAAATAGAATAACACACCCATACCCTCAAGATTTTAAAAGTTATATTTAAAGCAAAGAAACATGAATAATTCTGTTTATTTAGTTCGAGAAGTGCAATTATTTTAATTTGTGGATTATTTGTTACTATTGTTCTATGGATCATAGTTGCAGAGAAGATACAAAAACCATTTCCAACGATTTTTTTCCAGTCAAGCAGTATGTCAGGAATGAATAATAGTTCGAAATTAAGTAAATGGCCAAGAAAAACATTAGTTGTTGTGCCAATAATGTGGAAAGAAATCAATTGGAATGATCGCTTAAATTGGCCATCATGGCTTCGTGAGGGACTTGGTTTATCTAATGTAAATCCACGATCATATTATATTCATCTTTATCAACGTATTGATCCAAACTCAACATATCCTTATGATTGGCCATATTGTAAGAATGTTCATGAAGAAACTGGTGTTTTTCTACAATTTGTTCATGATTATTATCATGATTTACCTGATAAAATGTTATTTATGCATGGAAGACCTCTTGTTCATACTAGTCATAATCCTATTCAATCGGCTCAATGTATTCGTGATGATGTTCATTTTGCTAGTGTAAACGATGATAGAGAATGGATTTATAATCGACCATGGACATATTGGCCTCGAGATCCTGATGATAATATTGCACTAATGTATAAATGTGCTAAGCGTATATTGACTTTACTCGGTTATAATGCTGAATTACAATTAAATCCAACAAATAAGAATCCAAAAGATGAGAATGTTATTTCAGGTTTTTGCTGTGCTCAATTTTATGTAACGAAAGAACGTATTCAACGTTATACATATGAACAATGGTTATCGTTGTTTCACGCTAATTTTGAACCATATTGTGCAACACCACGCGAAAATGAACAACTTGGAAATGGTATTCAATGGTTTGGAGGAACTTTTGAACATATCTGGCATGTAATTCTTGGGCTTTATCCAGTAGATGCACCAGCACCAAAACATAATACTACTACTCATCGATGTCAATGGTTTCGTCCGTCTTGTAAAGGATCACCTTGTAGCTCGTAATTAATTATTTATCAATTAGTAAATGAGAGTAATAGGTAAGTTAAATTCTCAGTAAAAGACTAAATTTGTTTTATTTAAAATGTGAAAAATAAGATATTTTATACGACTAATAATTTTCTTCTTCTTACTAATTTGTTTTTTAAACTATAGAAAATTCTCATTAAGAAAATAAATATATTACTCATAATTATTTTGACATCATACTGTCTTTTTGTAATAAACCCTGTTTGAAAATTTTAGAAAAAAAATGTTGCTCCTTTGTATTTTTGTGTGTATATAAATGATTACTAGTCGTCGTCACTATTGATATAATTATACAGCTGTGATTTAAATTATATATAATAAATGTTGCTCAGAAATAGTTTTATTTGTTAGAATGAGATTCATTCAATAGGTTTTTTGACGAACTGGATTTAACGTCTTATTTTACAATTGCTTAGCGTATGACCGTTTTTCTTAAAGTATTGAGTTTGTTCATGTTTTGTTTTTTTCATAGACATTTGATCAAGTTCTTGTAAAACAATTGGATTAATTAATTCTGTTTGTAAGAAAAGGAACTCGTCATGTTCACAAATAGTCTTACAGAAAATTTGTGATTCACACTCGTTTATTTTAAAAAATGGATTTTATCAGATTTATTCAACGAATGATTTCCTGTCCAATTATTAGTTTCAATCAGCTAATAGAACTTGAAAGAAAATGAAAGACAGACATAGTGAACTTTACTGCTATCGTATCCTGAGAACTATTGAGATCAGTCTGAATCTACTTCGTACGTTGGTTGAAATGATTATAGAGCTGAACGATTTTCGTAAATGTGTTCTACTTCTCTAGAATCCATGATTCACTTTTTTCTCTTTGATTGCGCTATCAACCACATCCACTCTCAAAAATACACGCATCATCATCACTAGTTATGTATTTATCATAGGAATATATTTAATATTAGCATTTATGATTTTATTTCGATTTGATTTCGATCAAGAAATTTATTAATTTCGCGTATGAAGTCCTCTCTCATTTGATCCACATAGAGAATTAGTGTAGTGAGTGTCTAAATGGAGAAGTATAGGTAAAGTTAAAAAGAGAATGAGAATTACTGTATTGCGTTGTAATGCATCACTTAAATGTTGTGCTCCAACATATCCGATCTGATTCCACCAGAGATTTAGTGAGGTTAGTGTCTAAATAAAAAAGTGACGGTAAAAACATGGGATAGATAGAGAGAAAATGAGAGTTACTGTATTGTGTTGTAATGCATCACCTAAGTATTGTGCTTGAACATCTCCGAGTTCACTTGTCGGGAGATTCAGTGTAGTGAGTATCTAGATGAAAAAGTGTTAGTATGACTCGGTGGAGGAGCGTATGAATATGAGTTGCTATAATTAGTAAACGTATTTGAAACAGGAAAAAAATTCTAGTTAATTTATAATATTGTTGTTTATAACAAGATAAACTAGTTTATAGAGAAAAAATTGTTAAGATGCAGATATAAATAAATAATAGTATTTTTTTCTCTTTTTGTTCGTTCTTCTCCAAATATTGTATGCTTACAATATTACACGTGCTTCTAAGCGTGGAATATGTAAATGAGATTGAAAAGAAAGAAAAAAGAAGATATTTTCTCCTGATTTTATCAGAATATTATTTTCATATTGTTATATTACAAAAAAATGAAGTTTTGGAGAGGGATTAATAACTGTTGAATTAGTTTGAGTGACGACGAATAGTTTACCTCATATCGATGATAACTGTCTATGATGCTGTTGAATCGTTGACATACGTTTCTCATTGAACATATAAGTGTAAAATCCGATTGATGATCGAGAATTCGGTACACCATTTCTACCGGTAACGTAATGAAGTTGGCGATACTTTGATTTACCATTGCAGATTGTGGATGAAATACAGGCCGTGTAGCCATATATGTTGTTTATATGACATATTACTATTTTTCCTTCCGATTAAATGTGTAGATGTCTGTTCTGTCCTTGGTTTCACATTATGTTACAATTACTTGTTGAAAGAAAAAAGCGAGAAAGAATAACGTGGACTACAAAAGAACAGAATCGACATAACAACTGTAATAAGCGAATGCATAAGATTTTTAAATATACAAGGTGGACCAAAAGTCAGCTAACCGAACAAAAAAATTGAATGTCTCCCTTATAGCTTGGGCAAAGAACTTTTATTAAGTATCATTAATGACTTTATCAAGAAAGTGTTACTTTTCCACAGATAGACGAAGGAAGCAATGTATTTACCAAAGTTTCTCACTAGGCTTGTTCGTATAGATTTGTATTATGAACATTCCTCTATTCTAGACAAAATGATCAAATCATTTGCTCAAGCCGTACTGGAAATATTCAGTGTTCCTTTTTGATCAAGTGACTTTTGCACGATCCCATACATTGTTTTTTCCCTCCCTGTGAAAAAGTAAAATCTTCTTGGTAAACTCAATAATGATATTTAACAAAGGTTCTTCTAAACCTTGCTCGCATAGATATCAAGCTTGAGAAGGCCTCTATCAATGATAAAAAAATCAGGTTCTTTGCCCGAACCATAAGAGAATATTTGACATTCTTTTCTTATTTCAGTAGTGAATTTTTATAATTACTAAATGTGTAATATAAACTAAATCTATATTTTATTAACTAAAATGTAACATATGTACAAATATATACAGAAAAACCTCAAAAAAAGTCTAAATTATAACCTCAGATGATCTATTCTTTTATTTTGAGCCACTTATATGCCTCAATATCTTCAATTGATTTCCGATGACTTAGATACATTGGTGGAATATAAGTAATTGGTTCCAAAACACTGCCTTGTCGTACGCCACGTCAAATGTTTATTTTGCCGAACGGCAACCATCATAATCGATGATCAATGACCAACAAGTAAAATAGTTTATTAACCGAAACGAATATTCATTTGGACAGCGTAATTTATATAATTTGTATATAATTCCTTGATACCAAAGCATGTCGAAATCCTCAGATGATCTATTAGTGATTAAGCGCCAACATAAGTCTTGGTAATCAATTAGTATATCGTTTGCGATTGGAATAGTATAGTACCATATGTTCATACAATACGATATGTGATACATTTCTCAATGTTAGGTATGGCCTGATTTGTTTCTGAAGGAAAAGATGGGACAAAGACGATAGATCACAGTAAAATGACCATATAATTGTCATTGTAGAATTCAAAAATTTTGCAAAATAAAACAAGTTTTATGTTGGCTACCGGTAGCTCAGGGACGCCTCCTACGCTTGTAAACAATAATAGGACCCTGTGAATACCGTATTAAAGATATTCCCGGCAAGCGAAAATTTTTCATATTATAAATACTTACGTAAAGTTTATTTTGTTGATTGAAATTTGTCCTTGTGAGGAAAAGATGGGATAAAGTCG